ATAAAGTAATATTTTACTTATAAAAGATGAATAATTGTGACTATAATTATTTATAAAGATATGTTTTTAATAAAAGAACATAATTGTTGATTGAATCAACACAATTAATGGTCATAACCTTAAGATTAAATATTTATAAATAAAGATGTCAAGTGACTTTTGTGGGAATTTTTGCAATCCATAAATTTTGAATTATTTTCCTCTCATTCACATAAATAGATTAAGTCTTTCATACATCAAGAAATATGATTTTGCTACTAATTAAAAGATGTTTAGTGGTTTGATTTTATTAATGTAAAATGATATTAAAGAAGTGCTTCATTGTATCTTTTAAGCTTTTCAATTACCTTGTTGCATACCATGAAAACGATGAGAACTAAAATATATCTTAAAGAAAGTGACATTTGCAACATGACTTTAAGCCATATTCTCTCATATTATTTTTTTTATGCCTACCAAAACACCACCAATATTTTTTCAACAAGTTCAAAGTAGTAACTTTCACCATTTGTATAACATCAAGTCAATGTTGTAGGTCAAGCATGGGTCGAAAAGAGATATTCAAAGCTAAAACCTTCATATTAGGGCTAGTATTAGGATATTATGTTAAGGACTAGAACTTTAAATATGAATTAGAATGCCACCCTTACTTTGCTTGTGATTTTTTTAATCTTTATAAAAAATAATTTTAAAGGTTTTATCTTTTTCAATTTTTGAATTTTTAAGATTGAAATAAAAAAGAGTTTGAAAGAAAAAAAACAAGAATTTGAAAATCTTATGTTTAGAGTTGTTCACATAGTTGTTTGCGCCAATGGTTGTTAATTTTTTTTCTTTTGAAATTTATTAAAAAATCTCAAATCTAATTTTTTTTTTTTGGTTTTTTAGTTGTATTTTTTTCATTTTTAAGAGACATTTAAAAAATATTTAGATCTTAAGAGACATTTAAAAAAATATTTAGATTCTAGATCTAATAATTTTTTAAAGAATTTTTTGTTATTTAGTGAGTTTTTTTGGTTAGGTTTTGTGTAGGTTATTTTTTAAATTGATTATTTTTTACTTGCATTTTTATGTCTTAATATATAATTGAGATTTAATACGTTGGCTAGTCTTAAGATCTTTTGGAAATTATTTTATTATTTTGGTGTTTGATTTGATTTTTTTTATTTTTTCAAAATATTTGGAAGGCTTTGTAATTGCCAACAATATTTTCTCCGCCCTCTACTCATTCCTATTATTTTTTTCTATTTTTATTATAATTATAATTATAATTAAGCAAATAAAAAAGAAATTATTTTTAAAAAAAATTAAATAAAATAAAATAAAATACCACATAGGGAACAAAGAACTCACAACATGTTAACATATTAACTCTTAGAGACATTTTGAAATTAAAAAAAAAAAAATACATATGACAAACAAAGGGCTTGCCACATGTCACTATATTATCCATTAGAAGTTAATTTTAATAGTATGTTATAGAAGATTCTAGTTGAGAACATGCATAATAAAAGGTTTTTTTAAAATATAATATAGATCCCTTTTGAATGAGCTTCTAAATTTTGTGATAGCAAAATTGTTGATTAATTGGCATTGAAAAAGGATTCATAAACCAATAACTCTAAATTTTACATATGAACTTAGAGAGGGAAATTTGTGGATGCATAAGCTTAAATAAGAATATGTTTAGAGTTTATATATACCACGTGATTGATGAATCTAAATAACACAATAATGACTATTATGTTGCAACAAATTAATCTAGAAAGGTGCGTTTTATTGATAAAACTATTGATTATTGAATCAAACAATAAATTAATATTTTTTACTTATTGGTACGAGAATATCATTTTAAAATTTAAATTCAATATCTTATTCTAAGTTAATTTATAAAATAATTATCTTTATATTAGACCAAATTATTATTTTAAAGAACGGATAATATAGATGATATTAATTATGAAAATATATAAATATAAATTAACTCAAATACATAAAAATTATTTTGTTTATATGTAAAGATGATATATTATAATTGTTAATTGTTCTTCATAGGTTTCATATTACAAAAGATGATAGTTTTTTTTTTTATATCTTTGGGTCTAGTGAAAATCATTTAAATCTAATTTAACATGAACTTACTTTGTAAAATGTTATGTGTTAAAATTATTGATTTGAAATAATTTTTTCAAAATTTATTTTTTCTTAATAAGAGATTTTCATTGCTAATTAATTTAGATAATTTAGTTTATATAATTTTTTAAAAAAATATGAAGATATATTGAAATGTAATTATGCAAACAAAACCATTATGCATATTTTATTGTTATTTTAAATTTATTTAAATAGCATACCTTTTTATATATGAAAAACAATTTCATAAAAATTAAATTACTTCATTAATCAACTTGAAAAAGTATGAGATTCTTCAATCTTAATCCACTTATAATATAAATATAAAATAAATCATAAATTAAGCCCTAAATCAAATTATTTTACCAATATAAAAAATTTTAAACGTCAAACAAATATTTTATCACATTAACAAATGATAAAAAACAAAAAAACAAAAAAGTAATTTCTTACTTAAATGCAATATTAAAATAAAAAAGTTCACTCCTTGATTTATTTTTTTGATTTATTGGCTTTTCATTTTCTTATTGTTTTTCTATTTCTATTCTTTATTTACTGTAATTTTTTAGGTTTCAAAAAAGTCAAAGGAAAAATTATGAATATAATAGAAAGAAGACCATTTTCTCTTTGACTTTTATTGTTTTCAAGATTGAATGACGATCTTCGAAAAAATTATTCATAAATATTTATTTTATTTATATTTACACTTGTAACCTTATTAATTTTGTAAAAGAAGTATAATTTTTATTATAGTTATAGCTTTTTTCTTTTAACATTTATAACTATGTCATATATATATATTTTATTTTTAGTGTAGACAAACTATAAAATAATTAAAATTTTCAATAACTTTTATAATTACATTAGAATCTCACGGGGGCTGCTGCCTTCACTACTCCTATTGTAGATCCATCTTTAATTATTCTTATAAATCAATTGCAATATAAGAAGTAACTTACCTTATGTAATCTTGAAAGTAATCGATGTGGTTAATTTCAAATTACAATAACCTTAAAATTACAATAATTTTAAAAAATGATGAGGGTGAATTCGAAAAGGAAGATGAAGAGTATAGTGTTAATTGTGATAATATTGTAGATCATATTGATCATTTAGATAGAAAATATATGAAATGTCACAAAACCAAGAAAAAAAAAAAGGAAAACTACAAATGGAATAGAAAGAAGGCTTCAAATATCCCATTATGCATTCATAATCCCCGATGATTCTTGAAGAAGATAATAGTATTTCGAATAATGATATTTGACAAGTAAACTTTTTGCACAAAGAATAAGCTATTAAAACTTGGGAGCCTAAGAAACGTATCGGACTTTCGTGTTTAATGGCGATGAATAAATTATTATTAAAAACTTGATGGAAATAGAACGGAGGGATCTAGATGATAATACAAGCAGTTAGTTTTGATAGATGTCTCGTGATGTTTTTGTGTCTTATGATGGTATGGTCATTTTATCATTAGTTGGTCATTACTTGCTATCTACTCGTGAATGCCTTAGTATATTTCTTATTTCTTTCTATGTTTAGTTTCTTACATTCTACTTCAAAACTCAAGTGTGATACGCTTTTTATATTTGGTCATATTTTGGATTTTTGTTTGTATTTCTTGATCATTCATGATTATTTTTAAAAATTGATAAGGTGTTCTTATTTAATTTACATTTAGGTAATTTTTTATTCTCAAATGGGTTTGCATTAAAATTTGGCATTTTATTGTTGTTAGTCTTGATTAGCTTTTTTTTATCATTCAAGGGGAGCAGAGCCCTATATTAAAGGAAACAGAGAAAGTTGGGGTTCGAACCCTAACTTTGATGTCTTATTTAAGGTTGTATTTATCATTAAGCCAAACAGTCGAAGACTTTAATTAGTTTTGTAACCTTTCGATCGCTTGAATAAATTTTGGTTAACAAAAAAAAAAATATCAATTAGTGGTTAAAAATATTAGGCTTTAAATTTTATAATTTTTAATAATTAATTCAAAGTGTGGCTTAATGAATGATTGAAATTTTCATTTTGAAAATATAACAATCAATTGTTGGTTGCTAAACGGATTTATGTCAAAAACAAATTGAATTTTTTTCGTTTCTAACTTTTATGATTTAAAATTTATTTATTAATTTTTAATTAATTTTAGTATATTGTTTCCTATAAAAGGAAGCTTTATTTTAGACAATTTATATAATTTTAGTATTTTTCATAAAAATACATTTTTTTTTTACATATATTTCATATCTTAGGTGCCATATCTTTATATTTTAAAAGGTTAATGTCATAAATACTCTAAAATTATAATAAAATATTTAATATGATATTTAAATTTTAAAAATTTTTAATATAATACTTGAATTATAAATTTATTATTTAATGTGACATTTACCCGTAACATAACTTATTCTAAATGATACAAATATATAATTATCAAAATATTATATTAATTAATAAACTATTAATTCATTCGTAGCATATTAAAATACAAATATCACATTAAATATTTTATAATAATTTAATAATATTTTTAATATTATTTTTATATAAAAAATTAAATAATTAAAAGTAATCAAATCGTGATCCACAAACTTATTATTTTTATCATACGAAAACATTCAGGTGTTAAATCATTCACTCCAACATACTTTTTAAAAAACTTTAATCATTAGATTTTAGACAATAAATATGAATATAATTAATTATTACTTGTGCTTTCCACCTCTTAATTTAATGAATAAAAGGTTTTGAGAAAGGTACATGAGTATAGATTTTAACTTCATCATCTCTTTTTTTTATAAAGGTTTTATCTTTTTATAATAAAAAAAAATAGTTCCGCTTATATATTAAAAAACAAATATATTTTTTGTATTGATTCTTTATTATATTATTTGAACTCTTATGAACAATATCTACCTATCTAGAGCATCATAGGAAAAATAGAATTTTGATCCCATAACATCAATTTTGATGTTACCGCAAAATTTTGATGTGACTCAACAATAACATAACATCAATTTGATAATTATTATAATGAAATATTTATGTGATTTAACCATAATTGCAAAATAGTAAATCATAATATCAATTTTGCAAAAATTACTGCAGGACAACCAGAAAATCTTAGTTCATAATATTTAAAAGATTTTATTTAAAATATTTCAATTGAATAAATCTATTTTTTAATCTGATTTCTTTTATGTATATATGATCTGGCTTCCATCTTAGAATAAATCTATATTTCTGATTTAATATCTGATGTTGTGACTGTACGTTAAGATTCCATCGTAACTCCCATGAAACCAAGCGCATCGGATTAAAACTCAAGAAAAGTTTTAACGGTGAGGCCAGTTCTTTCTTCTTCTTTCTCTAAATAAAAAAAAAAGAAGAAAAATTGGTTTGATTTCGTTTTTAGGGTTTACAGACTACGGACAGAGAGAGGGAGATATAATTATAGGAGGATATATATATATAGATATATACATACATATATATATATAATATAGACGAGAGCCCTAAAAGAAAGAAGAAAATTTGTGAGAAGGTCGCAAATGGTTGGGTCAAATGGCGTTAGGCTTATTCAATGCTTGGTTTGGGGTTCCCATTCCCTTTCTTCCAACCTTGTCCAGCCAAATTCTGTACGCTCTCTTTTCTAATTTTATCTAATTTATTTCGTTTTCTTTATTTATTTTTCTGATCTGATATACAAGTAAATAAATAAATCAATGTAATTGCCTTTTCCACTAATATAAGTATTGTCTTCAATTGTAGATATATAATACTCTGATTGCTGGGGGTTTTAGGAGTTTCGCTACCGTACTTGGCAGTCCAGTTAACGTTATTGGAAATCACGCTCCCCAAATTGGTAATTTACCATATCGCTTTTGCACTTCCGTTTCTCTTTATTATTATTATTTTCTATTTATCTTGCCTCACATCAGAGTAGCCTTAAACTCGTTTTGGGCATGTCTAGTTGGTCTTCAGTGCTTTTGTACCATTTCTTCCTAAACAGACAGAGAATCAAGATACTATTTGTATGCTGTGTTGAGTTTTCCCCTCCTTCTCTCCAAGTATCGAATTACATGCTTGCCAATGCAGCTAGAGCTAGGAACTGCTTGGTTTTGGGACTCTTAAATGCGAACTTGGGTGCAACTCGGCCAATTCATGGCACTGGTATTCTACTAGTCTCTTTTTTTCCATGTCCTGTTTTCCCTTATGTTAATCTTTCTGGGATACGTTACTGCTCTCTCTCTCTCTCTCTCTCTCATTTTGATCCTTATCTTCTGGGTTCAGCTACTCTGTCTGCTAGTGATTATTACGATATACTTGGTGTAAGCAAGAATGCTACTGCATCTGAAATAAAGAAAGCTTATTTTGGGGTAAGTTTTTTGTGCATCCAATATGGTTGTCTTTCCGTCAGCTGCCAGCATGCATGTGAATGCATTTGTTTATTTGTCCTCCTATGAGTATGTGAATCACTGTGGGTGTTACTTCAGAATTCTATCACTTGTTATCACTGTTTCTTGATTCAATTTTTCTTGTTATTCTATAGCTTGCAAAAAAGCTCCATCCAGATGTAAATAAAGATGATCCTGAAGCTGAGAAAAAATTTCAAGAAGTTTCCAAAGCCTATGAGGTAAGTTTTTCTCAACTGGGATTGTTGCCTATTTACTTCGTTAATTTCCCTCGGTGCTGAAGGGAATAACGATTTGTTTGTTCTATTATAGGTTTTAAAAGATGAGAACAAGCGTGCAGAGTATGATCAGGTGTGGTAAAATTTATTACTTTTTCTTCTCATAATACTGTTTGTCAAGTGGAAAATGTTTTCAATAACCTTTCTGTTATTAGTGATTACATTAAGCAGAGAAGGGTAGATGACATATGTCATTTTCCTGCTCAAGTGATATGTTCCTTCTTGAATTATTATATGCCAGTGGATTTTCTTGCTTCTAAACTGTTTTCTGAACATTTATGTACAAAATACTTTTTTCAGTAATCTTTTTTCATGCTAACCTTAGTTATGTGCAAAATTTTATAGGTTGGCCATGAAGCATTTGAGCAGCAGCAAAATAATAGAGGCTTTAACGAGGACGATTTTAATCCATTCAAATTCAGCAACCTTCAAGACGTAATTTGCTTGTTTTAGGCATTTCTTGTTGGTTTTGATTACATTCATTCAAGGATATTCTTTGTTAATTAGTGAACTTAAAGTTTCTTGCATCGCTTTATCATTGATAACATTTGGTTAGAATTGCTCATTTTATGGTATTCAATTCTAGGAAGAGAAGTTTTCGAGCATTTGAATTCCAGAAATTTGAGATATGGTGATATGAGATGCCCCATCTTATAGAAGAGAGTGCTAATGGTCAGTAGAGAAATGGACATATATGTGCTGCTTTTCTCATAGCATTATTGAGGTTTGAGGCTTCAGTGCCTGGTGCATGGTTGATTATTAATGCTTGGTTACTGATATCTGTATTTGATCTAGGGCTCACAACTCTTGTTAGCACTGAGCATCATGATTTGATTTTCCATGCATGTGAATATGGTTGCTGGAGGAATGAATGTGCTTATCTGTAGGTGTCTTGGTGCTTTTTATATTTCTTGTTTTCATTACTCTGAAAACGATATTTTTTATATGTGTTTCGCCAGATATTCAACATTCAGGATATATTCAAACATAGAATTGGCGGCGAAGATATTAAGGTTTTCATCTGTTTCTAACTTTGTGTTGATGATTATGGTTTTTGCTCTATGTTATTTTTCTGACTTGTCATGTGTGGTTTACCACACTTTAGATTGCGATTGAATTGTCATTTATGGAAGCTGTTCAGGGATGCACCAAAACAGTGACATTTCAAGCTCCAGTGCTTTGTCAAGCTTGTGGTATACCTTATCTTTCCTCGCAAACACTACTTTCGTTTTTTTTTCTTTTTCACATTTAAGCTCTTTCTGACGTCGAAAATCTTGAGTTTTCATGACTGTTTCTTCACTTCTTTTGGGTTTTTCTAAGCTCCATTCACTTGGTAAAGTACCAACTTGTTTTTTGCTTTTGGGAGCAAAAAAGGCAAAAAGCACTCTTGGATGCAAAAGCAAACAGTATTTTTGAAAGATTATAGAAAAAGTATGTATTTTCTATAACTAAATACGCAAACTTGCTTATTATTGGTCTCAAGTTATTTTCTTCATTTTTCAGGTGGAGAAGGTGTTCCTCCTGGTGTGAAACCTGAAAGATGCCGGTATTGTGGAGGCTCAGGCATGGTTAGTTTACTGGAATAGAGTCGTGCAAGCCCACATAATTTTTGAGATACTCCTAATGATAAACATAAGGAGATTTGTTTATCTCCTTGTTAACTTATGGTTTTTCTGTTGTCTCAGGTGTCTATCAACAAGGGCTTTATGAGTATTCGATCTACTTGTCTGCATTGTAGTGGAACTGGTCAGTTTGTAACGGTACGTTATATTATCTTACTTTTAATGAATCTCTTCTCATTAGGTTGTAATCAGTTTCCAGTTGTTGCTTTATGTTGTTTTTTTTATTTAGGTTTTTTAAATGTGGTCGTTTTCCACATGATTAACAAAAGTAATTAATTTTATCATGAATATGGATTTTGTGATGATTCTTTTCTTTGTCTCTGAATAACCGCCTTGTGAGCAACTAATGTTTCTTATTAATTCAAGCTTTTATCATGAAGAATTAGCGTTACATGATTTTAGTTTCTTCCAGTTTGAATTTTGTTTTAGAATTGTCATTTGATATCTCTTGCTTTTGCTGGCTGCAGAAGCTTTGCAAGTCATGCAATGGAGCTAGGTTAGTGAAAGGACCAAAAACAGTCAAATTGGACATAATGCCAGGTACTTTGCAAAGTTAAAGTTCTATTTGGTGGTTACTTTGCTAATAGTTTAATCTGTCATGTCCTGCATTATATCATGCATGAAAGTTGGTTCTGTTGAGTTGTCTGTTATCTTACAATGTGTCTGTATGTGTGTGTTACTTTAAAAGCTGAAAATTCCTATGTGGAAATGAACTTAAGCATGGAAACTTGTATCTAATGAGTAGTTGAGCAAAATATAAACTTATATATTTTTGCCTTTGATAGTTTTAAAAGCATTTTCTTACCTCCTTTGATTGTTGTTATTTCTCATTTTTTACTATAGAGTTGGGAACTAGAGAAAATGATGTTACTGATAACTTTCTTCATGTTTCCTTCACCTTTTCCATGATTGTTGATTATAACAGTGTGTTGAATAATCAGATTTTCATTTTAAATTTCAGAACTCAAATGACAAAGTGGTGTTGCTAATGATCCTTTTTCAATGATTAAAGTTGTATCTGGTATCAAGGGCATGGTTTTCTATTATTTTGTTTTTATCATATGATTGACACAAAGTTATGTTCCATCTTCAGGAGTGGATAACAATGAGACATTGAGGGTTTATGGAAGTGGTGGAGCTGATCCTGATAGAAATCATCCTGGGGATCTATATGTTACCATAAAGGTAACTTGTTCAGGGCCTAACTGATATCTTGACAGTTTGCACACCTTTCCTTGCATGCCTTTCAAGGAAATTTTGTTCATAATCTCAAATGTACTTGTTTAAAAAACTGAATAGAATATGTCGAGTCTATTTGGATGAGTGTTTTTCTAAGCTTATGTTAACAATGGTGAATGGTGGGTGAAGTTGGTAAAGATGGTAGTGCCAGTGGCCAGGGTAATACTTGTAAAAAGAATGGGGTGCCCTGATGAAGGAAGCAGTGGCAGGGACAGCTATTTTAGAATTATGCTTTGATGTTGACCGAGAACACTGATTGAATGTGGCACAGCAATAGTAAGCCTCTGTGGATGCCATTAAGGGATTGTATTGTCAGAATCTGGTTTTTTCTTTTTTTTTTTTTTTCTGGTGGCAATATTAAAGTAATGAATATATGGTGGAGTTGGTGGTAATAGGGGTTTGTACTCAAAGATTTGGAGGTGAAAAATGCTGTGTGCGGCAGGCAGTTCATTTCAGTGGAAATAGATGTGATAGCAAATTATGGATTCAAATTAATCTACAATTATTGGCCCTCATTTTTGTTGTGTTTCGTTTCTGCTTAGGAATTTAATCAAATATATGAATACTGTTTTTCTTCCACTGTACCTTAGTTTGCAGAATTCTTTCTAAATTGCAAATGGTCGAACTCCTTATACTTGAGCCAAATTTACCTTACCTTTTTTTTGTTAGTTGATATTCCTGGTCTTTACCCTTGCAATTGGCAATGGTCTAGTGTCTTTATTTCGTCATTGCTTAGAGATAAAATTTTCAGTGTCTTGATTAATTATGCTTATATTTGCAGGTCCGGCAAGACCCTGTTTTTCGTAGAGAAGGTGCCAACATTCATGTAGATGCTGTTTTGAGTGTTATTCAGGTAAACTTGGAATTAAATATTTTTCCAAACAAGCTATTAAAGAGGCTCCTTTGTGGGGTTCTTGAGCAATGTCTTTATTTGATAGCTCAGTAAAATCCCTTGCTTTCCTTAGGTTATTTCAGTCATTTAGATGTTCATATGCTCTAAACTATTATGTTAGCTCTTATCATTGTGCATTCCTTTTATCTGCAGCTTGTCAAACAAAGCCAAATGGTTTTGTTAAATCTAGGTGTTTGCCATTTGTATATTGGTCCTTTTATCTGATTTACTGGAGTTAATTTGATTGCTTTTTTTTTTTTGCAGGCAATCTTGGGAGGAACCATCCAGGTCCCAACTCTTACCGGTGATGTTGTGCTCAAGGTTTGTTTTAAATTTTGTATGATTGATGTAAATTATAGAAACTGACCTTTGATTATTACTTGTAATTGAAGTGAATGCTTATTTTGCTACTAACTTTGATTCCTATTTGCAGGTCTGCCCTGGCACTCAACCTGGCCAGAAGGTAGTTCTGAAGAATAAAGGTAAGAAAGACTAGAAAGGTGCTTCTTTTGTTGGTCTAATTGTGTGTATATGCTGAACATTCCCTTTTGTGCTTCCTTTCTAGTTATATATACTTTCATACTTGATTTTCCCATTACATTTTATTTGGAGGAATTTTCTTCTAAGTGGCCCGATTGCTTCATGGAATAAATGGTTACCCTCAGTAATGAGATTGGCCTCAAAGATCCAAGAATAAGCTATATTTGATTTCTTTTCTAAGTTGGTATCAGCAAAAAATTCTTATTGATCTTTCATACCTTTGGCCATTTCATAAAAATAAGAGTACTCAATATATATATATATATATATATATATATATATATTGGTTTTGTTTTGGGAAAGGAATGATTCAAACGCTCCTCTTTGAATAGAGGATACATGCATCGACCACTTGAGCCAAATCTTTGGGTGTTCTTTTATCCAGTTTTCTTATATCCAAAACTGTTTTTATTCATATGGATGCATAAAATTGTTTAGGTTTATCTTTTCATGTTTGAAAGATTAGGATAAAAAATTCACTTTTTTTTAATTTTTTATTTTCTTATAGTCTTTGTTTGTATTTTAGTTGATTTTAAATCTGTTATTTAATTTCATTGATAAATAAAATGAGGAGAATATTAAAAATGGAAAACTTTAGTTCTAGACAATTGTCATATTTCTAAAATTTGAAATCTGTCAGCCATCTATTTTATGTTCTTGTAATCATATTTCTAGAATTTTGAATTCCTCTTCCTGCCCATTTCTTTTTTCTCTTTTTGTTGTTGTTAGTTTGTTTTCTCTTGAGCTGGCAGAATTCCTGTATTTTTTTACAGGGATTAAAACAAGTAACTCTTACACAGTTGGAGATCAATACGTGCACTTCAATGTCGGCATCCCAAAGTAAGTCTTCTACATGCCAAATATTTCTAATGTTATTCCATGAAAGGGAATGTATCTCTCACAAGCTCTTTGAGCATATTCACATTTGAAAGCAAATTACTCCTTGATTTATGGGCTTCCCTTAAAATGCAAACTAGAATGGAAACCTTTTTTGTACAGGAATCTGACCCCAAGACAACGTGAATTAATTGAAGAGTTTGCTAGAGAAGAGCAAGGTGAATATGATAAGCGTGCTGCTGCCGCTGCATCCAGCTGAAGACAAGACCAGAATGACTTTTAATTTTTGATAATCAATCTAAAGTTATTCTTGGTAACAGAAAAGAGGAACACAAAGATAAGAAGAAATTGGATTATTAGTAACAACTCATGTTTTGGAAGTTTTATACCAGTAAATTTTAGATTGCATTGATTTTTATTTCTTGTATAAGGTATTTAAGCTTTTTTTTTTTTTTTACACTCACGGATGGTATGGCATTGATCCATCATTTTGAGCCCAATGGTGATGTTTTATATAATTTATGCAGGTATTAGTATAACATAGTTGCTACATGATGCCCCTGCTGGATTATGGTCAGATTTGACTGGTATACTGAATTTTTTAATAGCATTGATCTAGGTCTTTGGACAAAACAGTTGAGTCAATTTCCATGCTCATAAATATATGAAGTGGGTTACAATCTTAGATCTGATTTTTTTTAATAGTTTCTGTTACCTTCCGATTTCCTATAATGCAAGGAGAAACTTGAAATTTTTGGTTGCGATAGCATAATCCGTTTCCAGCCTTTAGTGGTCTTGGGGAATGAGAGTTGTAATTGATAAGTATTCGTTTTTTGTAGTATAGTATGAAGTATAGAGTTGTGAGGCAAAAAGAATTGGTCTCTTGTTGGTATGTGTTGGCGGCAAATGCCATTGCCAAATACAGGAATGGTCAACATCCAGCAAATTGATGATAAAACAGGTATTTTCAAGAGTGTTTAGAAACTCAAGGAAAGCTATATTATCCAGTGACAGATTTCTGATGCTGCAAAATTGACCAAGACAGGTGTGCCTGAGAACAGCTGACTAACATAATCTATCGCTTTTGACACGTTTTAGATCTCAGTAACCAATATCAGTATTACTCAAAATTTTACAAGTTAAAAGGGTCATGAAAGTTTGGTTTACTAACTGTTTTACCACTGCAGGAAGTTTAAGTTGGTTCCTTCGTGGAAATCAGATCAAAAGCAGAACTAGCATAGAGATGGCATGAAAGGTATGATCTGTGGTTAGGATATAGGTACCTAATGGCATGACATGACTGCCATTCATATATATATAGATGTCTGCTGTGCAAACACAATTTCCTTGTAAGAGGAAAGCATTCTAAGGGAGAGAATTTGAGCTCAAATATGAAGCTTTTTGGTTCCAAGGCTCTGCCATCTTTGGTTTTTGTGTTGGTCCTAACAGGTTTGCTGGAGCAAGGTGAGGGGACTGCTTGTAGCAGCACATTCTTCTCAGCACTGGTGCAGTTAATACCCTGCAGAGCAGCAGTTGCTCCTTTTAGCCCCATTCCACCAAGTGAGACCTGCTGCAATGCTATCAAATCTCTGGGGCAACCTTGTCTGTGTGTTCTTGTAAATGGCCCTCCCATATCTGGTGTTGATCGGAACATGGCCCTGCAGCTGCCTGAGAAATGCACTGCCAACTTTGAACCATGTATTCTTTCCCTCTCCTCCCCTCTATACTACTTAGCGTTAAAGGAAACTATAGTTCATATTTTTCCTTGTTTCAACAAATTAATAACTCCTTAAATATTTTTTTGATGCAGGTGATATAATGAAGTAGATGCATGTGTGATTTTATGAATAAGTTTGTGGAGAGCTCATGAGAACCTTTCCCTGTTAGTACTATTGGCAGATTGCCCCCACAATAAAAGGATATATGAACATTAATTTTAAGTACTATATATAAGCCTGTGGGGGGTCTTGTTCCGTGGAACCTTTTTCTTCTTGTTTCTGTTTCCTTCCTAAACAGATTGCTTAGTTAGTTGCATATTAATAGCTTATTTCCTTTGGTGAGAGTTCATTGCCTCCATTTTCTTTTATGATATGTATGTCTCTTCTTTCTCTATCAAACTATGGTATAATTACTCTTTTAGAATTTAGGGTCATTGCCCAGGAAATTTATGCTTTCCCAGCCTTTATGAGGCTATAAAAGCATATTTTTCGCATATTTTTGTCTGGCATACGCCTCTCCCATTCCGGAAGAGAACAGCTTTCGGCTAGCATAAATTAAACATATGCAATTAACATACTGATGAATTTAAAACGATCAAGTTTCTTCGTACGTTTTGGGTATGGTACAGATTTCATTGGTTGGAGTATCACCAATTTAGATCTTGAAACCGATTAGTTGAAAAAAAGAATCTCTTTACCCTCTGCAAAAACTAGTTGAAAAATAAATTAGCATTGAATTATCTCAGAGGAAAATTCTAATAAAGATTTCAGCCAAACACTGGAATTTAGCATACTTCTTATAATTGAGAAAATTAGCTGCTTGGCCACAATGACAGCTAAAAAATCAGAAGCACATGTGATTTTGAGTCAGGTAGAGATTACAAACCAGATCTTGACAGAAAATACATTGCACCATTGTAAGTTTGAACAAAACCCTATATATCAATCAACAAGGACTGGGAATGGATTCATACACTGAAATATGATTACTTGATACAACGGAACTCTGCAAAGCAAGGGTGATCCTATGATCCCTGAAAGATGATTTACTTACATTAGACACACAAGGATGGGATAATTTAATAAAAATAAGATTGATAAGACCTGCTAAAAGTAAGAGATAGCACTTAGACAAGGGTGTTACTAACCCTATCGACAGCAGAATTCCCAATATGCGGTAGTTGATAGAAAGGAATCTCCTATGATGATGCACAGCAACTGAAACTCTTTCCTCCAGATTCTGGCTCCTGCCCAGGGATGACAATCGCGGTTCCTTTGAGAAGTGATGCATTACCCCCAGATTCTTGTTCATTGGCTACCAGGTTTTTCTTGCTGATGATTCGGTAAATTTCTGTTAGAACTGTAACGAAAGCTGATTCAACATTAGTGGCCTCGAGGGCTGATGTCTCCATGAAGAAGAGGGTTTCCCTCTGCGCGAATTCCTTAGCATCCTCTATGGGAACAGCTCTAAGGGAGCCAAGGTCTGACTTGTTGCCTACAAGCATTACCACAATATTTTTATCTGCATGTCCACGCAGTTCCTCTAACCATCTTGCAACATGATCAAATGACTGACGCTTAGTTGTGTCATAGACCAGCATTGCCCCCACTGCTCCTCTGTAGTATGCACTTGTTACCGCCCGGTACCTGGGTGAACCACCATCACCAGCATACATAGAAGAAGACAAACCTAATCTGATGTTAGAATTAGAATGCCTTATTCAATAAAAGAATTAAGAGACCATCTCTCTGTCACCTGAGTTTACCAAATAGAAGTATGAAAGTAAGAAATCAAAAGGAAGCCAATCCTCTCAAGTCTCAAGCAGTAATGTGTTTAGCTTTTTTTAGCAACAAATCACAGATCGTTTGAAAACTAGTTACAAAAATGAAGAGAGCACAATCAAGCAACCAACAATAATCTCATGGTATTATCCAACCTCAACCTGAAGATGATCTATTCCAAATTCCCACAAACAGTAAATCTAATTCATGTTTGCATATATGAGCATTAGGAAAAGGAGTTGACTTTTATATACAAACTACACATACCTTTCTTGACCAGCAGTATCCCAAATCTGAGCCTTGACGGTCTTATGATCGATGACCAGAGTTTTAGTTTGGAATTCAACGCCGATCGTCGCCTTGGAATCGATATTGAATTCGTTCCTTGTGAAGCGCGCTAAAAGCTGCGATTTCCCCACTGCTGAGTCTCCTATTAGCACCACTTTGAACACGTAATCTATCTTTTGATTGAAATCCCTTTGCAAACTTGACATCTCTATCTGTCTTAAACCAAAACTCCCAACACTTTTTCAGTCGGAAGATAAATTCATTCAAGAGTTTCTCAGCCTACCCTCAATTTGATCGCTCTCTGGATTTACAACTGGACCTCACCCTCACTTCCAACAATAATCTTTGTTTCTTATACTTGTTATTAGCAACAATCACCGGGCTAAAGAGTTGGGGTTTCTACTTTATAGGAAAGTTGAAAAGAAACAGGTTTTGACAATTGACATTCTTGGTGGCAGGCCAAGGAATTTCTTTTTTTTTTTTTTCTATATAGATACGGCTCAACCAATGCTACTATATACGGTTCAATATCCCTCTTTAACGTGTCACGTGGGTTTTTTTTTTTTTTCTGGAGTTTTAAATTTTTTTAAAAAATTTATAAATATATTTTTAAAGATTTATTTTTTAGGTAGATTCATTTTACCAATTTTTTTGTAATTTGTTCTTTTTTTTTAATTTATTTATTAAATAAATTTTGTTATTGTACGGAGCTTACCTTGAGTGTCACTTAACATCACTTAATTTTTTTTGTTCTTTTAATTTTTTTAATTAAAACTTTCTTTTTTTGTTTAATTTTTTATATTTATATTTAATATTTTTAATAGTGAGACCTACTTTATATCAAAAAAATTTTCTTTTTTATTTAAAATTTAAAATTTATTTTGTAGGAGTCTTACCCGGTCCATTTGATATTAAGAATATATCACGTGTTTTTTATTTATTTATTTTTTAAAATATATTTAATAAATATTTTAAAATATTTTTTTGTGAGCTACGTGATACCTAAAATATATTATATGCCAAGTCATTTGCTTTATTTTTATTTACTTTTCTTTCTAATATTTAATAAACTTTTTTAGTGATGCTCATATGATATTATTGATTAAAAATATTTTTATTTTTATTATTTATTTAATTTTATAGTTATAGATATGTATCATATTAATAAAATTATTATTTTATAGCTTAATTTAAGATATTAACATTTTAAATTTATTTTGAATGTTTTTATGATAACTCAATGATCTCTTTTTCTCTTTTTTTTCATTGTTTTTTTTATTTTTAATTAATAAAATTATTATTTAATATCTTAATTTAATAGATTAAAATTTTAAGCTCAATTAAAATGTCATGTTGTGTCCCAACGAGCTTCATTTTTCATTTTTTATTTTTATTTTTTATTTTTACATTTTTTTAAGTTAAATTAAATTTGTGAGAAAAAGAGACCAATGGTAACTCCACATGGTATTCCTAATTGGCTATTTATCTTTTTAATTTTTTTATTATTTAATTAGATAAATTTTAAAGTAAAAGATGTCAATTGATAGCAATGTTAAAATAATTCATAAGTTTCAATCTATTTTAGTCCGAAGGAGCAATTTTTTAAAAGTCAAATTCAAATTGGGATGGGATTGAGTTTTTTTTTTTTTAGAGAAATGAGATTGAAGTAAAAATGTGTTTAGGTTGTTTTGTCCCCATCTATTTGAAGATATCTATAAAAATATATTTTTTATTATATATATTATGTTAATAAAGTTATTATTTGATATTTTAATTTTAAAAATTAATAATTAAGGTCAATAGAAATGTTCATCTAGCACTCTCTATAAAATTCTTTTTATTTATATATTTTTTTCATTTTTATCCTCTTATTTTTTTAATTAAATAAATTTTGTAAGAAAAAATGAGATTAATTGAAATATCCACATGTTATTCCCATTTACATTTTATCTCTCATCTTTTTATTTTTTTAGTTAAATAAATTTTGAAAAAAATTGATAAATAAAAGTAGCAAAAACAAGTTTGACCAACGGTATTGCGCGATTATCATGCTATTATTATAAAATGTTCTACCAAGGTTAGATGGTTTTTGAAATATTGCATGCAGTTACTTTGACTCCTTTTGATGCATGGGGCTATTTGTTTAATGAGTTTCTGCTTGCATACAGTTAATTTATAGCAATTAATTGTTTCTTTTGGTTATTATTATTTCTTTTTTGATTAATTTATAGCAATTAATCAGTCAAATTATTTTTTTTCATGCTTATACAATGATCAAAAGAATAGTAAGTTTTAATTATACACTAACATGATATTCGCGTGATGCTGTAAGTCTTTTTTTTTTTTTTTGTTATTTTTATTTATCAAATTTTTATTATAAAATTTACCTAATTAAAAGAAATAAAAAAGATAAAAGATAAAAAAAACCAAATAAAAGGATAACACCTGAATATTTCAATTGGTCTCATTTTTCTCATAAAATTTATTTAATTAAAAAAATAAAAAGAACTAAAATAAATAAAAGTTAGTCAAAATTTTTATAATAACCTCTTATCATAGTTACAAAAATATCTTTATTATTATAATTAGTTAAAATTATTATAATGCCTCTTACAATAATTATAAAAATGCTCCTCTTATTATAATTGGTTAAAATTATTATAACATCCTCTTATCAAATTATAAAAATACTACTCCTATCATAATTAGTCAAAATTATTATAATACTTCTCATATCATATAAAACTACCCCTCTTATAATAATTTACTAAAATTATTATAATTGTTTTATATCATAATTAAGTAAATATCTTTATAAATATTTTATAAGAAGTTAACATGTGATATTTTGTTTCAAAATTATTATAATATTTTTATTAAACTATGTATTAAATATTAATATAATATAAAATTAATCACATATTAAATTATTAAAATATTCTTATAATTGCTTTATAAAATTTGACATATAATATTTTATTAAAAATAATAAAAACTAAACGATCAAATGGGCTAAATAATTATAATTTTTATTAAAATAAAAAATTAAATATTTTATATTTTAAAATATAAATTATTTAATTCCGACACAGTGGAGCCGCACAGGCGCACACTAGTCTAGAATGATTTGAAGCCACTTTGAACGACTCTAGTCTTGATCGTCAAGGAAACTTCAAATTAAGGAGTATTGGTAGCTCTATTAATTATAGAACTCACAGTTAGGAAAATGAGGTTTAATGCTAATCCTAATTAATGATATATCATTATAATTAATTACTATACGTCTTCTTCTTCTTCTTCATCATTATGGCTCTGATCATAGATAGACTAGTACGTGGTTTTGTTTCCTCATGAGAAAGTTCTCAATTTAGATTTCTGAATTAAAGTGGCAGGGACAGGGAGGGAGGAAAAGTAAAAATTAAGGATATGGGTGCATGAGGTTCTTTCCTATCAGCATCAGGGAGAGGGAATCATTAAATTAACCTAGAAAAACCCAAAAATAAAAAAAATAATAAAAAAAAGGTTTGCAAGCAGAAGCAGTGCACCAAAAAGTCGTCCCATGACATGAATAGAGAGAATAGAGAATAGACACCAACCCGATTCAGGGGAGAAATTTATGCTGCCTTTGCGTGCGCTTTTGCCTGTGGTGAATAGGGATGGGAATTTAACCCGATTTCGATGAATTTCGATCCGACCTATGAGGTTGGGTTTTTTTTTTTTAATTTCGAGTTTCGGATCGGATCGGGTCGGATAATATTAAGAAATAGTCGAGGTCGGATTTTAAGCATATCCGACCCGATATTATTTAAAAAATTATTTTTTAATTAATTATTTATATATATATTTATATAATAATATTTTTAAATATTTATAATTAAAAAATAATATTTTTATTAATTTCGGGTCGGATCGGATACAGATTATATAATATCGGAATTCGGGTCGGGATCGGATATGAAAAAATAAAAAATTTTCGGGTCAGATCGAAGATGGAATTTATTGATGATAAAATTGGATCGGGTTCGGGGCTAACAAAACACGCCCCGAACCCGATGCCAACCCTAGTGGTGAATGCTGATGAATTGTCAAACTTCTATGTATCACTACATGGGATCATTTGCGTCATCGTATCCGTAGCTATTACACCCTCTTCCTGGCCTCGGTGGCATATAGGCTTCCATATATTCTCTTTTTTATTACTTAGTATTACGTCATCATGCCTCATGGTATGTTGGAACCAAAAGCATCTCCCAATTTTGGGCTCTGAAAAGTTGATTCAGATCCGATGCTTGATCCTCAAACGTTTATCTCTGAGTGCTTGTGCAGGGTAACCCAGCCACATGATTATAGCGTATTATTCTTTCAATGTGTCGCTCATTATCCAGCGAATAAAACTGCTGATTTATTCTTTGGACTAGAGCATAGTTGATTGTTGAAACGGAAAAAGATTTAAGTTACACCAAATACAACTGCAGCGAAACAAAGAAAATAACTGTTCTTTATTTCCTCTTTTTTTCTGCAAAAGCATAATAATGCCGTCTTCTTTGATGGTTATCATGCCTTCGTTCAAATGCCAAGTGACTCATTAGCATTGGTTGCTTAGAGAAAAGAAAAGATTTTAATAAAAAAATTTGAAAAAAAAAAAGGCGCGAGAGATAGAGAGAGGGAAAACGGCCTAAAGGTTATCTGCTTCAGCACTAGGATTGGTTTAGGGAAACAAAAAATACAGCAGCTAATACAAACCGTTGCCTATCTTTGCTGGTATATGCCTCCAGGCTCTAGTGGAATCCAAGCTCTCCAGTGCTAAATAAAGTTGGACCACCATAATTAGCGCCGTGTGGTACAGAAAAGATACGGCTGACGGCACCAATGATTTCCCCTAATACTAGTAAAGATCAACGACTTAAATCACCGGTTACGAAGTTGACTATAGAGGAGGACTATCTGTCATTTAACACTATAAAAGTAACAGTCTTTTCTCCATAAAACTCAGCATAAAATATTATTAAAATAAAATACAATAAGCACGTTTAACTTTTTGTTCTTACTCCAACCAGACCAGCCTCCACAACTTTGTTCAATAGTATGCTTTTCGAGGATTGTTCTGCATAAGAAGACCAAAAATATTAGATCAATTCGAATATAACCTCAGTCACAATAACACTTCAGATACTACTATTAACTATCTGTTGGACAGTCAACCTATGAATTACACCATAGGTTAGATGTAATCTTTTTAATTATAGTAAAATGAACAAGGCACAAATCAAATACCAGAGGATTTGGTCTATATCGATAACCAAGCATCATTCGCTTCTTATACTGCTCATATATATCATCATCTGGAGTCACCTCTCCAGGATGATGAGCACCAACCCCCAAATTGTTCATCTTTACATCACCAGCCATGATTGGATCTGAGATACCATTTTTGAAGCTTCCTAAACCCTCACCTGAAAATCATGCAGCAACAGTATTAAACTTCTCACTTCAGAGAAAAATGAATTCACCTCATTACTAAAGACGAATATCTCTTTTTTTTTTTTGGTTGGCAACAGAGGTCGAAGGACTCAAATCATTGCGGAAACACAATCAAATCTGTGCATACGAACACATAATATATGGAAGAAACCAAGCTTGCTTTAGTAAACTACAGTGAAAAGAGCTGAAAGGAAATTCACCATCAGAAGCAATCTGACTAAGAAAAAACAAGGTCACCTCTGCTAAGCTCACAAAACCAATATCAAGCAAGCTGATAAACTTGTGAGGCTTTTCTTTTTGGCCAACAACTTGTGAGATTCACAAACCTTTTAAGCTTGATACAAGATGTATTTTAGAAATAGTTGCTAATAATAAACAAAGGCGAAATTAACAATATGAAAAAAATGCTGGCATTTGTATCAGCACTTGATTGCAAGGTACAGGAAAGAATAATTGCCACAAACATTTACATCGTTCATCTTTGATGATTTATCTTATCTCAATTCTCATGATTCATTATTTAGACCAGAATTTAAAACTGAGCTTGAAAATATAGGTTAACACAGGCCAGAGATGAGCAAGCATACACAGGAGAGAGAGAGAGAGAGAGAAGATAAAAGCACCTTCTTTCCAACCCATTTTCGACAAGAGTTTATGCCCAACATTATCAGATTGAATCTTTGCCTTCTCTGCAGTCTCCCATGCAGCCTTTTGTGCAGCAGCATCATTGCAGGCAGCCAAGAACTTTTCAAGCTCTTCCAGTGGTATATAATCACCCATGTGATGACCTTTCTTCATAGGAGCTGCTAAGCCAACAGAGAATAAGGATAATGTGTCTTAGAAGTAAGAAAAAGAAAACATACACTTCATTCAGGACAAAAATTCACCTTGAAGGGAAGGGGGTGGTGGCATCTCATCTTTGGACTGCTTAGGCAGTCTCATCTTCTCTTCCTGAGCAGCCTTCTTCATGTAAAACTCCATCATTGCTATAGGATCTGCACCTGGCAGGGCACTGGATGGGCCTGCAACTTAGAAAAGCATGTATATATAACATAAAGTAAACAAAATTGTCCATTCATAATGTCAGTTGATATCAAAATCCAACAGCAAGGTGATAATACTTTAAGGTCGTTTATATTAAATTCACTCTAGAAGGACAATTTAACAGAAATTATGATTTATACCTTTACAGAATAGACATTAGGTATAGATTAGTCTGAAATTGTACAGTTATCAAAACCCAATAGCAGGATAATAACACTTTCAGATCATTTTAATTAGCAGAAACCATGACCAACATCCTTTACACAGATAGATAGATATAGACACATTTGAAGCATTATTTCACAAATGAAACACGGACAATTTTTATTTCAAAGAACTTGATAACACTACGTATGCAAGCAAAGGAAAGCCAAACTCGTGCATACCATAGAAAAACTAAACAGTATCTCATGCATCATCACCTGCTCTTCCCATTGATGTCACAGAAGATCTAGGCTCCTCGTTATTCTCATACAAAGCAGAGGCTGGAGTTTGATAACTTGATTGCCGGAGAACTGGCCTAAGAGAGCTGCTTGTAGACTTGGATGCTAAAATGCTTGTACCACCTAGATAAAGCATTCATCATGTCAGAACAGAAGGATGAGGCATATCCCCTTCACATATTCAATAATCTTATATCTTTTAAGATTTCTGAAGCCATTTCCTAGCTTAATTGTGCATGAACCCTAACTTCAATCTTTATTATCTGGTGTAAAACTGAAAAGTGAAGAAACAAGGAAGGAATAATAGCAAAAGAAAATTTTTACATCAAACAAAACTTCCACAAAAAGAATTGCAGTTAGAGCTCTAAGCATACGATTTTAAAGAGTTGATACCTAACACTATGGTCAAAAGGGTAAATGAAGATACTAACCACTTTCAGGAGTTTGTGATTCCTTGTTCTCAAAAAGTGCTTTTTCCTCTTCAGCAAGCTGATATTTATAGTATTTGTAATCGGAACAGCTCTCATCCAAAAGGAATCTGGAGATGGTGAAATATCAATTACACAAAACATAAGAACCAAAAAGGACCAAAAAAAAAAGAATGCACTTATACGCCCAGGACAGTGCATAATGAGCCAAAAAGATTGATGCACAATTGAACATACTTAAAGGGAGTGTCTCCAGGGTTTTTTTGACGTGTAATATGCTCAAACTGCCTTCCATTTTTGGCAACGAAACTTGCTAGTTTGTCTGCAACTTTCTTCACAGTAGGATCGCTTGGGGAAGGTGGTGCTGCATATCACTTATAAAACTGATTATTACCAAGAGCATGAACAAGAGAATGCAAATTACTCTTGTAGCAGGCGTGCCACTGCCACATATTCCAAATCTTTCATTGAAAATCTCTTTCGACCAATGTTGATTGGTACTTAAGGTATAAGCTGCATTCATGAGACAATAAATATTCAAGAATGTTTTGCCCTCTTCATCCACAACTTTAAGATCAGAGAAGACTTATGGCCAGATGACTTCATAAATCATAGAAGTTAATGAAGGGACGATTTAACTTAGATGCCTATAAAAAGTTTCTCTATAGAGAAGAGAAAAGAAGAATTATTATCTAGACCTCTAAGTTAGAGGGAACAAAACAGCAAGCAAGATAAATTAGTAATTCAAACATTCACGAGCACATTCTAGTTGGAAATGCATAACACATGCAGCCTAAGCATTTAAAATCCTTAAGGACCGCCAAGTCACCAGCAGCAACACAACAAGATAAATAAAAGCAGTAATTACCAACATCCACTTGTTTTGATGCTTGTTCAGAGGCATCTGATTGACCCAACTTTTGCCGTTTAATGGGTGTGTCATCTAAAAACTTTCCAGCATCTTGGTCCTCTTCATCCTCATCTGCAGCCAACTTAACAGGAGGTGCCACAAGCTTTGGTTTCTGTTTCAAGCTGAATGCAAATTTGCCTCCGGAAGAAGTTTGGATGGTCTTGCGTGAATCATGAGGCTTATATTCCATGGCTATTTTGTTAAGAGAAATAGCAGGCTTGGTAGCTGAAGACCCTTTTACGATTTTGGGGGGTTTAGATTCCTCTAAAGTTGCACACTTGTCGTTTTCATCCTTATGTTGTTGAAGCTGTTTAAACCTCTCCATGAAGGAACCATCATTAACAAAAAGGCTAGATGGCACTCCTTTCTCCATTGACAAAGAGCGAACAAAACTTAAAGGCTGTTTACAGGAAGTCACTGCTGGATAAGTAAAGGTTGTAAGCTAATTAGATATTGCAGTGGGTTTTAAGGTCTGACTTTATAATAACACATAGCATTACACAAAGAAAGCACCAACAAAATGCTTACGGGTTAAACATGAAAGAAAACGTCAAATTCGCATTGGCAAAAGCAGAACTGAGAATTAAGCCTTTACTTTTTCTAACTTACACAACATGTCATAAATACAACATCAAAATAAGTATATCTCTAAATTCTCATTTCTCAAGGACAATCAACACCTGATTAACCGGATAAAACTTCGCTTAAAAAAGAATAAAAGAAAAAATAGATTAATTTTACCAAGACATAATCTTCTTTTAGACTACTTATATGAAAAAATAACCCTACACACATTACCAATTTCTTGTAATGACACCCAACAACAACAAAATAAGAGCAAGAGCAGATGTATGAAGCAGGAGCAGCATCCGATTCGCCGGAATGAATATCCAACGGCTGCCGCATACGGACTAAAACAATCAAAAAAATTTCTAAAATTCCAAAATAAAAACGAAAAAGCGGCGGCGACATGAGCAAGTGGAATAGAAGAAAAGAAAAGGAGAGACGTAAGGCTGACCTGGCTAGGCAAGGCAGAGGCAATGGTCGTTTTAATCTGAGCCTTCCAATCAGAAAACAAGAGAGAGAAGAATGAAATACTAATAACTTTCTTTCAATATATATTTTCATGAAAGAGAGTCGGTTAGGTTTGGAACAGAAGAAGGGTTAATTATTTATTTATTTATTTATGTTTATAAAGAAGAAAGGAACGCTTCAACGGGTCACCACAAAAAATATACAAAAGAAATATTGTTAACATATAATTATGGACTTTTTTTTGGGTTTTAGAAAGGCATAGAGTCATAGACCTGATTTTTTTAATTCATTTTAAAACACATTTAAGTGCATAATATTTATATTTTTAATTAAATTATATATATCACTTTAGATGTATTAACTTATAAATATACTGCAAGTATAGGGATTATAGTGTAATAATCATATTAAAAAAACTTTTTTAAGAATGAAAAAAAAGGAAGAAAGAGGTTTAAAAGGAAAATAAATATATTCCGGGGACTTGCAAAAATGAAAATGCAAAAGAGAGGCAGGTGTCGCTCATCTCAACCATCTTCTTCTGCTTATCTTCTTCTAAGCAGTATCTATCTGGATCTGGTATAAAACTAATCCCTGAAAGAAAGAAAGAAAGAAAAGCGGCCAGTTTGGAGAGCAAATAGCAATCCAATGGACAGAGGCTGTCTGAAGAGCCTAAATGCAGTAAGATCTCTCCATTTCCATTTTTTAAGCCGTAATACACCTTCTCTATTCGCCTCTTTCTCCAACACCAATTTCCACCCTTCTTCCTCCCTTCGCCTCTCCTCTATCTGTAAGACTCTCTCTCTCTCTCTCTCTCTCTCTCTCAAGCTATTCTTTTCTTATTCTTAAATAAACAAAACAAATTGACCATCTTTCTTCATTCTTATGGCTGTCGTAGCTGAAAGAGGGAACGGGAACTCCCCCCCTCCGCCTGCTGCTCCACTTTCACAAAATAAGCTTCTTCAAGTCGTCTTAGTTTCTCCTCAGGTAATACTGTGTACTTCAATTTCAATGCAATTAAAATCAACTTGTTTTCTCTGAGTCTCCACCAATTAAATTACATATTACATTTATAGTCCGATAAGTTTCCTTCTCTATTTCTCTGAGATTTCTTTTGTCATTGACAGATTCCCGGAAATGCAGGTTGCATTGCAAGAACATGCGCAGCATCAGCTGTTGGCCTCCACCTAGTTGGGGTATCAATCAATTGCAATTTTTCCTTTTCTCTTCTTAAAAAAAAAAATTCAATTTACTTTATTCGTTTAATTTTTCCCTCCTCCATACCATTTCTACTAAATCTGACCATCCAAAATGCTTCTGCTGTTTCTTCAGCCATTAGGATTTAAAGTGGATGATACTAAACTAAAGCGTGCTGGACTGGATTACTGGCCGTATCCTCACATTTTTGTTCTCTACATATCATTTTCCCATATTAACTATCCTCAGTGTACTTAAAACTTTTGTTTGTGTGTGTGTCTAAATTTCCACTATTAGCTTTTCAACGACACAAGCGTGAGCTGAAATGCATGGACACTCTTTATTTCTGTTTTCTTTTTAAAGTTCTATTCTAATGGGCCGCTTGAGAATTTCTCATCAATTTACTGTTTAGCATATAATTTTCTATCCTCGAACTTTTCACTGCTGTGCCATTTTTTTGCATGCTTCGTTCAGCAAAATTAATTGATTATTCAGTTGGCAAGTTTTCAGACATATAGCCTCAAATTAGCTTTACAAAGAGTATCAATACTCATTTGATCAACTTCATTTTTTTTCCAACTTTGTACACATGTATCCTGTTTTCACCAATAACTTTGATGTCAGATATGTTGTTGTTAGAGTACATCGCTCTTGGGCAGAGTTTCAAGACTATTTCAAGCAACAGGTCTTTCTCTGTCTGTCCCAACACTGGATTTAGAAAAGTGCATCTTTTTTCATTAATTTCCTCCATAAATTTTTGGTCCCATGATGCAGGAAGGGAAAAAGCGGTTGCTGGCTTTTACTAAAAGAGGAACAACTATTCATTCAGTCTGTTTCCTTTCCTTTTATTCTCTATGCATGGTTTTTGATTTCTGATTAAGATTGTTTGTCATACTAGAATTATCTGTTTCTTGCTATTGTTTCTTGATATTGTACCTATTTTATGTATTTGTCATGTTATGCATATTTCCTTGTCTTGCTATCACTTTATTTCATTCTCAATCTTATGTTTATTTTACTGTTAATTGGTAGCATTTTGGCTTGCAATGCAATTTTGAGATGTTAGTAAGTTTCCTGGTCAATGTTGCAGACTAGAATGCTATATGAACGCACAATTTAACCTGCAATCACTGTATTGCCATAAATTTGGTTAGTCACTTCCATTCTAGGGTGCAGTCTCTAAATTTTTTGACCCTATTCATTCAAAGATATTAAATATCTTGTAAGGAGGTCAAGCAAGGGCTAAAGTTGCTCTATGCATTTATCCTATGTTCAAGGACTGCCATCAATGTTGGAACCATGCAAAGGCATTAATTGTCAATGCATTTAAACAATGGCTAGCCCGTTCTGTGTTTTGTAGTTCTAAAAGGAAGTTTCGTATGCTCTTTTGCACTGAGTATCAGTAGGACTTTTTGCATCTGGAGTCTGGACTTCTGGTTACTTAGATTAAACTGATCTAACTCTGATTATCATTGCCAAATGACAATTGTCTGCAACTAGAAAATCATTGAATTCAATGCAAGAGAATGAATGTGAAAAAGATGACTGCAGCTTTGTTTCTCTAGTTTGTGGTGAGATTAAAGAACATGGGAGAATGTAAAATAGGAATTTAAAGATTTGTTTTGCATTTCATCTTAATTACGCTCCTAGACAACCAATGGCTATGATAAAGTGACTTTCGCATCCCACTTTTTATTTGTCTAATTTACCTTATTAAGAGAGTTTTTCTATTAAAATTACAGTATTTGTCCTAACAGCAAATCTTAATCAAATTTTTATGAAGTTGACTACGACTTGTCTTTGTGTTGCAGGACTTTTCATACGGAAAAGGTGATTATCTGATATTTGGTTCAGAAACTTGTGGCCTACCTCCTGATGTTTTGTTAGAGTGCAGAAGTGAAACTTTTGGGGGTGGAACCATTCGGATTCCAATGGTTGAGACTTATGTTAGATGCCTGAATCTCTCTGTGAGTGTTGGTATTGCTTTGTATGAAGCTTCTAGACAGCTGAACTATGAGCAGCTTCAAGGGTCCTCTGGAAATTCTAGTGATTGTGAACAATCTTTCCTTACTGAGGATATTTTTGCTTGATACGTTGTATTCCCAATTTTGAACCTCTATGAATATAGATTTTTGAAAGCAAGTGATGGTGACTTGTAGAAATCAGGGTATCAATAGTGCTTTATATGTTTTTAATATTATTTATTATTTTGAAAATAGAGGGTATTCAATTCTAGTTTTCTAGACAAGCAAAACAAATGCTTAGGGAAAGACTGATTGGGATGCGAGGGAGGGTATTTTGAGTGTTTAGAAGATTTGTTGGTCATTGTAGTCGTAGAGTTAGATGCAGTATTGTAAGGGAAGTGAAGTCATCTCTTCTTTGCTTGTAAAAAGACAGAGCAGAGGGAGTTCAGTACTTCAGTTGAAGAGCGGAGTGAGCGGGATTTTCCTTTCAAAAAAAGAAAACACTGCGTAGGAATTTTTTAGCGACTCTTTCTCCAAGTCTTCTGACTGACTTTCCTTTTAAAAAGTTTCCAAATTGAATCCACTCCGTATCTATATATTTTCCATTATTTCTGAACCTTGAATCTAAAGAAGAGAAGAAAACTAGGGTTTGTGTTTGCCTCCTTCGACCTTTGCTTTTCTTTCGTCAGGCTGGTAATCAAAATTAGCCCTTCGTTTTTTGGGCTGTTGTTCGTTTGTAGTATTCTTCAATGTTTTTTAATCCATGCTTTTCTGCTTCTTGTGGTCATGTTTTGTTTTCTTTGTTATGTACTGTATTTATAAATCTTATTTAATTGCAGGAAAAAAAAAGAACAGGGGATTAATTAATTATCAACTCTTTCACACAGGTACAATTAAAACTGAGCTAAGATCAATACTATAATAGTTGTTTTTTCTTTGACATGATATTAAGGAAGCTGTTCTATTTGTATAACCAATCAAATTTAACATTCAATTTGTATAACCACCAATGTTTTTTCTCCTTTGTCGTAGGTATTAGATACAGTGCTAAGCAATAGCATATATTAATTATTGCAAAACAACCTATCTAAGCAACTTTTTAGAGGAAAGCTAGCGTGCTTTTATTATTAGTGAAAAAGTGTTTCCTTCATATTCTACATCTATGCCTATGATGTGAAAGATAAAGATATAAAGTGTAAAAAACTTGAGAGACTAAATTTTAGCATAAACCAAAAAAAGAAAAGAAAAGAAGTCGATAGATTACACGAGGTGTTTAAATTTAGAGTTCATCCCATATACGAATTGTTATTTATCTGGAATTCTCTAACGGTTGATTCCCACCAAACACCCCAGTTTAACACAATGCGGCCAGAAGGAAAGGCAGACTTTTCTTTGAAGGAGACGAAACCAAATATTGGTGGAGGGAGAGTCTCCGGCAGCGAAAAACCCACATCCACATTCGACCTCGTCGAAGAGACTCATTTTTTATTCGTGAGAGTAGTGAAAGCCAGATATTTGACATGCAATAACTCCTGTGGCACTTGTGACCCATTTGTTGAAATAAAGATTGGAAATTATATGGGGACGAGAAAATACTTAAAGAAGAAAACGAACCCAGAATGGAACCAAGTGTTTGCCTTTCGAAAAGAACGTATACAGACCTCATATGTGGAGATCATCCTGAGAGAAAAGGAGTTTGTCGATGATGAGTTTATTGGTAAGATTGCCATTAATCTGTCCGACATTCCTGGATTCCTAAATTCAATCATATAAAAATACTTTAAAAATAAATAAAATAAAATAAAATAATACCAAACAGGATTGGTTTGACTCAACGGTTGCGGCATGACTCGGCTTCAGGCAAGAACAATGGCTATAACGATGCGGCTCGTAGCTCGGCTTGGCTTGGCTCGAGCCAAGGATGAGTCAACGGGTCAAAGACGAGTCGAGTGCTCAGGTCAAGTTGGCTTGAATAAAAAATACACAGATCCTGAAATCATTTAACTTAAAAAAAACGTCATTTTGGGATGATATAAAAGATTGAATTTTATCTTTTTCTTTTAGATTTTCCTTCCCCTCTCTCTCCTCTTTTTTCCCCCTCTTTCTCTCTCTAAAATTGATAAACTCCAGTTGAATCTTCATCGGATTCTAAAAATTTTACTAGAATTTGGGTTAAGTCATCAGATGTTCATCAAAAGTTTATTGATTTAGGGAAAACTAAGTTAAAAACTGAAAAAATTTGTCGGAATCTAAAAATCTCACCAAAAAATTGTCAAAAAATTCAAATATTGCCAAAAAATTCAATTGAAAACTAAAATTCTCTAGAAAATTTTCAAAAAAAAAATCTACTTTTTAACCCAAAAAAATTTTTTAAAATATTTTTATTACTTTCTAGCTTCCTTTAAATGATTTTCTTTCTGTTTTTCTGTGTTTGTGTGTCTATGATCTCTGTGTTTCTGTGTTTGTGTGTTCTCTTTATGATCTCTGTGTGTATTTATAAAAGATAATCAAAAATTTTTTTAACTAATCACGACTTAACTTTTAATAAGATTACAGCAAATAAAATTTATCTTTAACAAATCCAATCCATCTACAATTCTGCAAACACCAATCCATAGCAAAATATTTATTATTATTATTTTTATTTACTATTATCTTACTATTATCTTAATAGAAAAGCTAAAGATAAAATCAAATGAAAATGAAAAATCAAAGATAAAAAAATAAATGAATAATCAACCAAAATAATAATAAAAAAATAAAAATAAATAAATTAATAAATCATAAAATAATGAATGATTGAGTTTACAGATTGAACTCTATTGAGCCAGGCCCAATTGGTTCGAACTTAGACCAAATATGATGTTTACAAAGGCGAGACATATTTTTAGTATCAAGTGGGTTTCATTTAATAAAATTAAAATCTAAAAAAATATTTATAAATAATTTAAAAAAAAGAAAAGAGAAAAAAAAAAAAAGCAAAACAAAATTTGGTATAATATAAATCCCACCTTAAAATTTTAAATATTTTAAAAATATTTGTTAAATAAAAATGTGAAAAAAATAAAAAATAGGAATATAAAAAAATCTAAAAAATGCAAAAGAAACCCCCCAAAAAATTGACATGTGAAACCTGATTTAGCTTGAAACCGAAATTTAAGTTATAAATAGATTTAAAATGTTATCAATAATGCATTTTGTCAACAATCAACCTTCCACCATAAATTCACTTAGACACTCCTAAGTCTTAACTTATAATTTCTATCCTTGAGTAAAGATAGCAATGGATAAAAAATAGGAAAGATAGAGTATTTTTTATTCTCATCTCTGGATTTTTATATTATATCTATATTGTATCCATACTCAAGGAGTATTTCAAATCTATCTTCATCTTTATCCTCATCCCTATAAATATTTAATAGGTATGGATTACCTCCTTATCCGTAGTTTTTTTTTAAATTAAAAATTAAAACGTATTTTTAACTTTTTTTAAAAATTTATCTTACATATTTATATAATTTTTTATAAATATATTAATATATATTTTAAATAAAAATACATTAATTTTATTAATCTAAAATAATTATTTATATTATTTAATAACAAATTTATTTACTAAATATATAAATATATATATATATATATATAGAATATGGTCATAGGATAAATGCTATATTACTCATCTTTGTCCCCATTCCTAGTAAAAAATTTAAAATTATATTCACCTCTATTTTCATAGTATAATATCCATCTCTTCCCGATTAAATAAAAAATTCAAATTTCTTATAAAGTATAAGTAAAATTAACCTAACCTTGAGACCTATCTTTTGGCAGTCACTCTCACCCCCCCCCCCCCCCCCAAAAAAAAAAAAAAATCAAGTCCACTATATCACCTTAACTTTCATCCTTTCCAACAAATCACTACTAATTATCTACTTCTACCTTTGTAGCAAAACAATACTTTTGGCAGGGACATCTGCCTGCAAAACTATAAACTTAGTACATTTGATTTTGCAAGACAACAATAATTTAACAATATTTGATCAAATCAATTGTAAAACTCACACCAATGAATTAAGAGAACAATCCTAATCAGTTCATTAATTCCAAGTGTTCATCATTTCTTTTCAATGTCTGAAGTGAAACAAGCATAAAAATATTTTTTTCAGTAATTTTTATAATAAATTTCTTTCCTTTAACCCGTGCCACTAGGCTTGTTAATCTTTTCCACAGCTTATAGCCAATCAAAACCTAGTGACAATGTGACATCTACAAAATTTGACTGTCATCCATGATCTACAAGTAGCTATAACCTATAACTGTACATCAAACATTTCACCGTCTCAACAAACATCAAAACTATGAATCCGAACTTCTATACTGGTAAAAATGTCGAGATAATAAGACCAATGAAATATCTTAAAGCCGCATCAGCAGTTCAGTAAGTCATTCTGCAAATGTATGAACAGTTAACTTTATGCAGCCAAGGCAGATAAAGTTCTCATTTTCTTTTAAATTTTTAACTTTTCCATTTTGTTTTACTTACATGTTGAAGACTGAAATATTCCTTGAATGATAATTAAACCTAAATGAAAAATGTATAGTCAGTCTTGAGCTAAAGAAATCACATTTCAGACTCAAACCCAATATTCCAAAATCCCTCAGGAGTCAGAGGAGGAACATACTTATATCGGTGCCTAGACACACCATCATGATGCTCACAGCGGAAATTCTTGTGCTGATCTTCATCGTCTTGATCTCCCTTGTTAAGAACAGCATCATAGAATTTCTTACATTGATTGCATTCAAATCCTCTCAACTTTGCCCTGTTTGCTTTCTTTCTTACTGGTTCCACATACTTGAAACTTCCCTTGTCAGCCATTTGAAACGGTATCCCTTGTTTTGGCCTCTTGTCAACACTAACATCCTGTGTCTCATCATCTGAGCTATCAACATTCATTTCTTTGGGAACTGGAGGATCATCAGCTTCTTTCTTCATGGCTTTCTCCAGGTTTGCTCTGATATTCTCCAGTGGAGTGTCAAGAAAATCATCATGGGGATCAGGCCCAGCTTGGCCCTGATGGGTCCTAGTATCTCTCCAAACCGAAACAGGTCTCTTTGTACCAGCTATAGGATTAGATTTCACACTTAAGGGACATTTTGAACTGGGGAAACTGGAAGTAAGAAAGTGAGAGCTAGAGTTTTCAACTGGCTTTGTTCCTTTCTCATCCTCTATATCACCATTTAAACCAATTACATCCTTCATTCTTTTTTTGTCACAGACAACTGTAGTAGTATTTGAAATTCTGCTTGCAGCATCTGCAATGAGGCACAACCAAATGTAGCTAAGAAATCTCTGACCAACCTAAAAGGAAAAGAGAAAAAAAAAGAAAAAGACATAGCAGTGGCAGCAATTTCTTGCAACTGTTGCCTCAAATCATAGGGTGTTTTTGACAGTCTCACTTCATCAGAAATTCAGCAAAACAAGATCTCAATAACTTGAGAGAACCTTGAGCGAAAGAAAAGGTAAACCTGTTTTAAATTTATCTAGCAATTATCATCAAATAACTAGGATGACTAAGCATTGATCTAAATAGAAGCCAAAATAAATAAATTAAATATAAGCAGCAGAAACTTGCCAAGAGAAGGTATGGGATTGTGGTGACGCGTTGCTGAGTCGCTTTCATCTTCCAGTTTATTTGAAAAAGTCATGTTTTCGGTAGTAAGGCCATTCTTTCTGCAGAGGAAGTTGTATTGAGATTTTAACCTTTTGTACGCATCAAGAAGATCTCTTTTTTTCTTCTTCTCAGCCATCAACTAAGAGGCTTTTGATTCGATCTGTTTTAGTAACTTTTCATGTGAATCCCTTTCTTCTAGAGCATTATCACCACTTTCTCTAAGTTTGACCTGTTGTTCATTGACTTTCTGTTCCAAACCTTTTACTTTGGCCAGAAGTAGT